TTTTTTTTCTCTAAGGCTAGGTTCACACTAATGTGGTGCGGTACATCGCATGTGATTCGCACAGGAACCGCACCGCATTCCTGTGCAAATCCACATGAGATTTATGTGCGGTACGATTGGAGCCATACATTATGTATGGCTCAAATCGCAAAGCACCCAAACCAAAAGGGTGCAGGATCCTTTTTGGGTTCGCACTAGGATCGGATCACATGGGTATACACACCCTATGCAATCTGATTCTGCACATCACACCGCGTTTTGTGGACTGATTTCGGGGTGTTTCTAACTTGACATACACACCCGCATTAGTTCGCATGAATGGGGTGCGATTCTGATGCGGTCACCGCATCAGTGTGAACCCAGCCTGAAAGGACAGAGAGAAATACAATGTATCTCTCTCCACCATTCAGAGAGAGAAAAGGGGGAGGGGTTCACAGTGACTGATCACTGTGATATCCAATCAGATGCTTTCACAGCAATCGTGTGACCTGGAATTCGGGAGTTCCGGGTCCCGATCATTAGATCGTTGTTTACTACTGTTCATGTGATCACTGATTGGCCAATCAGTGATCACATGAATCGGGACCTCACACAGAGGTCCCATACAGCGATTGGTGTTCTTTGGTGTTCCATATCACGGTGATGCGCGCTCCCAGGGAGTGCGCACAGGCAGTGAATGCAGGTGACATTTGGAAATCTCAAACCCGCTTCGGCAGTGCTCTCCGTTTATAGACATGGGCCTGACGGGAGCACTGCCGAAGCGGGTTGACGTTTCTAAGTGTCATTTGCATTCACTGCCTGTGCGCACTCCCTCGAGCGCGCAACACCGCGATCCGGTGCCCGCTGTGTCCTATGGACACAGCAGAACACCAATCACTGTACGGGACCTCTGTGTGAGGTCCCGATTCATGTGATCACTGATTGGCCAATCAGTGATGACATGAATAGTAGTAAACAAGATGTCACCTGAGATCATTGCTTACTACTAGTGAAATCTGTGAATGATCACAGAGATCACATGGTACAAGGCCATTCACAACAGCCTTGTACCATGTGACAAGCTGTGACCAATCACAGCTCACACAGTATTTCTCAATGGCTGCAAGAATGCAGCCAGAGAGAAGGAGAAATGATTGCTTTTGCAGCCTTCATATGGGTGTAAAAGCAATCAGTGTAAAAAAAGAAACAAAATCTTCTTCACCCCCTACAAGTAGTACAGTGTCACTATGACATTGTACTGCTAGGGTGAGGGCATGTTAAAAAAAATATAAATAATAATCTAAAAAAAATTAAAATGTAAAAAATGAAATATAGAAAAATGATAAGTTTTGGCCAAGATTTATATAAACTAATTTAGGTTATTTTTTTTTTTACTAAAGTTTTCTAAAAAATGCATATGGGTACAGTGTTGCATGAAACAATTTCTAAAAAATTCATATGGGTACAGGTGTTGCATGACCGCGCAATTGTCTTTTTTAAATTAATTTCTTCATTTTCCACAAAATTATGACAGAAAAATGACAACTTAAAAAAAGCTTGCCATGCCACTTACTAAATACCTCAGACTGTCTATTTTCCAAAAAGGGTTTTGGGGGTATTTGTACTGTGCTGGAGTCTTTAGGCCTCAGGATTTATCAATTTTTGGATATATACCATAGTTTGTGGACTCTATAACTTTCCTACCAACTAGATAATAAACACTAAAAACACATTTTTTCTAAATTCTCAGTATTTTTTTGTTTATATCGCAAAAAATGAAAAACCCAGTGGTGCTTAATTACCATCAAAAGAAATCTTTATTTATGTGAAAAAAATGGTTAAAATTTCATATGGGTACAGTGTTGCATGACCGCGCAATTGTCATTCAAAGTGTGATAGCACTGAAAGCTGAAAATTGGCCTGGGCAGGAAGGGAGTGAAAGTGTCCGGACTTGAAGTGGTTAACAAATTCTGAATTACTTAGCACAACAATATGATACTTGGTTCTGTATTCTCTAAAAGGTACGGCACTGGGAGGTGAGTAGGAGGTGGAACCAAGGGACGGTGCTCGGAGGTGGGTAAGGGGCGGAGACAAGAGGGACTCAGAAGGGGGGAGTTCCTGAACCTATTCTCTGGGAAAAACAGCCATGCTGCTATGACACTTATTGTTCTCTATCATCATTGTAATGGGCTTACCTATTTATTATTGACCAACCAGCAGAACTGAACCTCCTTCAGCTGTTGGCATTGGAGCAGTGGTGTGGTGGTGGGACATGGCTGCTGTCCAAGGAAATGATTTGACTAGCTTGAGCTTGTCTAAACTGAAGACAAAACATTTTTTTAGCTCTGAAAAGAATGGAGAGGGGTTGGAACCTCGGTCAGGTTTTATTGCTGTCTGTCCTGTCCTGTTTACTGTTACCTCTGAGAGTGAAAGTGAAGGAAAATCCCAAATTTGGGGTTGTCACCAGAACAGGCATAGAGGGTAAATCCTCCAATGGAGACTCTAGCTCTAGTGACAACCAGGACGTTTCCCCCGCTTTGGAGGGATTTCCTATCATTTCCTATTTTGAGAAATCTCCTCAATGGGCGCACAAATGGAAAAAAATGACAGGGGTTATAATACTTCCTTACTCTTCCAAAATGAAAAAAAAGTTTGCCTTCAGTTTTACTGTCAATGCACCCAAGAGACTTGACACAAGAGCTGCTGGTAGGTATAAATCAGGTTAGACAGAGGGGGATGGAACCTTTCTACAAGCCTTGTAAAGGGACCCAACATATTTCCATGTGGGTATCATGCTGAGCTTGGCTTCACCTATACATACAGTTTTCAGGGAACCACAAAGTGTTCAGCCCAAACCACATATTGTACATCATGGATGTTGGTGCTAGACCTCTTCTCCCAATGCCCCTGGTCACATCACTTATAATGTCTTCCTACCTGTAGTACTCACACACATAGACCTACGTCTGACACGTGGTTCAGACAGAAGCTCCAGAAATCCAGCTGACCACTCAGGGCCCATGAAACATGGTGGCCCAGGCCACCTTACGCGGGCTGCATGAGGGGGTTCTCTCTCACGGTCAGGTGGGGGACTCCTTTTCCTCCATCACCACCCACTTCAGTGCTGACTAGACTTGCACTAGTAGAACACATAACTCTCTTCATTCCCAGGTATTTGCTCAACTAAATACTTTACTCATCAGGTCATCACAGAGAGGCTCTTTGTTGCAATATAACTTCTTATACTTGAATAAATCAGCAGAACACAGAACAACAATAAATCCACATTCTGGAATTGCAATGTCCAAATCATGGTAATTAGGATATCTTCATAACTTGCATGTATACAGTTCCTAAGTCTCCCCCAGATCTTATAGATAAGTAATCTGGCAAATGCATCCCCCCCCCTCCGAAGGGAAGATCAAAGGAAACCCCCAACTCCACTCTCTCTTAGCAGAACATATCTCCAGTACCTTCTTTTTTAGAGCCAACTCCACCCCCTTGTATACTGTATGTCATCATGTCATGTCATCACTGCACCAGTAGGAGGAGCAATCCTTAAAGTGTTATTAAACCCAGGATAGAAAAAATATGGTAGTGTGACAAGAGCAACACCACCCAAAAGGAAAGTGGTTACTTAGAAATCCACGCTGAGTAATATAAGTTTAGTAATTACAAAGAATACTTTATTTGATCACATAGATCATAGGGAGGTTAAGCATAAGCACGGTGAACATATCAAACAAATAAAATCATTTAAAAGCACTTGGCGTCCTCATTTCTGGGTGATTTTGGCACATAGGGAACCATATAGGGCGATGGGGTATTCTCTTAGTTATGTGATCCTAGATTTCCATGTAATTCAGTCTTGTATTTAGATTAGCCATGTATTTTTCAGATGTATTCTTGGTATAGGCCAGGGTATGTAGAATAGCTTCCTGGTAACTGGAGACTGGAACAGAAAAATATGGTGATAAAAAAACTTAAGTAGCACATAGATCACACCATAGCTGCCCCGTACAGAGATAATCCTCTAAAGAGGATTTTCAAAAAATTCCCTGAAAATACAGGGGTACTAGGCACATATAGCATTCCCTATAAACTCCATATAGGTTCTGTAAGTCTAAACAGCAACTACCGCAACTACCTGCGGTAGTTGCTGTTTTAGACTTATAGAACCTATATGGAGTTTATAGGGAATGCTATATGTGCCTAGTACCCCTGTATTTTCAGGGAATTTTTTGAAAATCCTCTTTAGAGGATTATCTCTGTATGGGGCAGCTATGGTGTGATCTATGTGCTACTTAAGTTTTTTTATCACCATATTTTTCTGTTCCAGTCTCCAGTTACCAGGAAGCTATTCTACATACCCTGGCCTATACCAAGAATACATCTGAAAAATACATGGCTAATCTAAATACAAGACTGAATTACATGGAAATCTAGGATCACATAACTAGAGAATACCCCATCGCCCTATATGGTTCCCTATGTGCCAAAATCACCCAGAAATGAGGACGCCAAGTGCTTTTAAATGATTTTATTTGTTTGATATGTTCACCGTGCTTATGCTTAACCTCCCTATGATCTATGTGATCAAATAAAGTATTCTTTGTAATTACTAAACTTATATTACTCAGCGTGGATTTCTAAGTAACCACTTTCCTTTTGGGTGGTGTTGCTCTTGTCACACTACCATATTTTCTATTATGCATTTTCCGGTTTATAAATCCACACTTTTATGATAAGTGAATCGGAGATAGTACTAGGACACAAACTATCTGTGTCACTTCAGGTGGCTTCTTTCTGTTCTATTTTTGTATTAAACCCAGGACCCTGCATTCGCTATATCCGGTCTCCCCGGACCCTGCATTCACTATATCCGGTCTCCCAGGACCCCGCATTCACTATATCCAGTCTCCCCGGACCCTGTATTCACTAAATCTGGTCTCCCCGGACCCTGCATTCACTATATCTGGTCTCCCCAGACCCTGCATTCACTATATCCAGTCTCCCTGGACCCTGCATTCACTATATCTGGTCTCCCCAGACCCTGTATTCACTATATCTGGTCTCCCCGGACCCTGCATTCACTGTATCTTGTCTCCCTGGACCCTGCATTCACTATATCTGGTCTCCCCGGACCCTGCATTCACTGTATCTTGTCTCCCTGGACCCTGCATTCACTATATCCGGTCTTCCCAGACCCTGCATTTGCTATATCTGGTCTCCCCGGACCCTGCATTCGCTATATCTGGTCTCCCCGGACCCTGCATTCACTATATCCAGTCTCCCCGGACCCTGCATTCACTATATCCGGTCTCCCCGGACCCTGCATTCACTATATCTGGTCTTCACGGACCCTGCATTCACTATATCCAGTCTCCATGGACCCTGCATTCGCAATATCCGGTCTCCCCGGACTCTGCATTCACTATATCTGGTCTCCCGGGACCCCGCATTCAATATATCCGGTCTCCCAGGATCCCGCATTCACTATATCCAGTCTCCCAGGACCCTGCATTCACTATATCCTGTCTCCCCGGACCCTGTATTTACTAAATTTGGTCTCCCCAGACCCTGCATTCACTATATCTGGTCTCCCCCGGACCATGCATTCACTATATCTTGTCTCCCTGGACCCTGCATTCACTATATCCGGTCTTCCCAGACCTTGCATTCACTATATCCGGTCTCCCCGGACCCTGCATTCACTACATCCACTCTCCCCGGACCCTGCATTCACTATATCCGGTCTCCCCAGGCCCTGCATTCACTATATCTGGTCTCCCCGGACCATGCATTCACTATATCTTGTCTCCCTGGACCCTGCATTCACTATATCCGGTCTTCCCAGACCTTGCATTCACTATATCCGGTCTCCCCGGACCCTGCATTCACTACATCCACTCTCCCCCGGACCCTGCATTCACTATATCCGGTCTCCCCAGGCCCTGCATTCACTATATCCGGTCTCCCCGGACCCTGCATTCACTATATCCGGTCTCCCCGGACCCTGCATTCACTATATCCGGTCTCCCCGGACCCTGCATTCACTATATCCGGTCTCCCCAGACCCTGCATTCACTATATCCGGTCTCCCCGGACCCTGCATTCACTATATCCGCTCTCCCCGGACCCTGCATTTACTATATCCGCTCTCGCTGGACCCTGCATTCACTATATCCGGTCTCCCCGGACCCTGCATTCACTATATCCGCTCTCCCCCGGACCCTGCATTTACTATATCCGCTCTCGCTGGACCCTGCATTCACTATATCCGGTCTCCCTGGACCCTGCATTCACTATATCCGCTCTCCCCCGGACCCTGCATTCACTATATCCTCTCTCCCCGGACCCTGCATTCACTACATCCGGTCTCCCTGGACCCTGCATTCACTATATCCGGTCTCCCTGGACACTGCATTCACTATATCCGCTCTCCCTGGACCCTGCATTCACTATTTCCTCTCTCCCCGGACCCTGCATTCACTACATCCGGTCTCCCTGGACCCTGCATTCACTATATCCTCTCTCCCCGGACCCTGCATTCACTACATCCGGTCTCCCTGGACCCTGCATTCACTATGTCCACTCTCCGCAGACCCTGCATTCACTATATCTGCTCTCCCCGGACCCCGCATTCACTATATCCGGTCTCCCCGGACCCTGCATTCACTATATCCGCTCTCCGCGGACCCTGCATTCACTATATCCGCTCTCCGCAGACCCTGCATTCACTATATTCGGTCTCCCCGGACCCTGCATTCACTATATCCACTCTCCCCGGACCCTGCATTCACTATATCCGGTCTCCCCGGACCCTGCTTTCACTATATCTGGTCTCCCACAGTACACACAACATGGACATGCTATTATTTTAGTAAATATAAACTGCTAAATATCTTTTCTCATCAGCAGTTAGAACAGTGACTTCGATCAGTGTCCAGCAGAGCACTGGATAAAGCTTGTAGGAGGAGTTTTCAGTTGTGCTCTAGGAGGATGCAGAACCCCTGACCTCTGTCTGGAAAGCGCGGACTGGCCCTGTGCTGATCACATGCAACCTCCCAAGAAAAAAAAAAAACCTCTCTAGCAATACACACCAAACTGAGCATGTGCAGAGTGACTCCGCGTAATATGTCTTATCAGGAGATAAGAGGGGGACACTGGAAGAAGGGGAGGATCAGAGGAGACAAGATCAAACAATGTTTTTTATACAATGCAGAGGATTAACCCCTTAGGTCCCACAGTGAGTATAACAAGCATGCTTTACTGCATCTACAGACTGATTGTACTGTTGTGGGTTTAGTAACACTTCATAGGGACATGTACCCGCCTAAAGCCTCATTTGTTACAATGGGGTGTGCATATATCTTACTGCTAAAGATTATATCTATAATAAAATGGGGGATTAAAGTGGTTGTAAAGGCTGAACGTTTTGAAGGCATGAAGGTAAAAAAAAAAACCTTTTTGTGTGCAGCTTCCCCCATATCCCCCCATAATACTCACCTGAGCCCCTTCTTAATCCAGTGACGTGCAAGGGGGCCTCGGCTGCCCCGGCTCTCTCTCATCTGAGAAGCAATCACAGCCAGTGAGCCAATGAGGAGAGAGCAGGGGAGGGACCGACGCATAGAGCAGGGCTCTAAAGCAAGCATCCACCAGTGCCCCCATAGCAAGTGGCTTGCTACTGGGGGCACTGGTCAAGGTGGGAGGAGCCAAGAGCTGCGGTGGGGGATCCAAGAAGAGGAGGATCACGGCTGCTCTGTGAATAAACCATGGCTCAGGGCAGGTAAGTGTGACATGTTTGTATGGTTTAAGCACTTGCCCTCCAGAGGATTTACCCCCCTTATTGGCAAGGCCATTTTTTGCGCTACGGCACTGCATTATACTGACAATTGCGCGGTCATGCAACACTGCACCCAAATGAAATTTATATCCTTTTTTTCCCACAAATAGAGCTTTCTTTAGATTGCATTTGATCGCTTCTGCTTTTTTATTTTTTTTGCGCTATAAACAAAAAAAGACCGACAATTTTGAAAAAAAATAAATATTTTTTCACTTTTTGCTATAAAACATGTCCAGTAAAAAAGTTTAAAAAATCAAACTTCGGCATATATTTAGGCCAAAATGTATTCTGCTCCATGTCTTTGCTTAAAAAAATCCCAGTGCGTGTAAATTAATTGGTTTACATGAAAGCTATAGCGTTTACAAATGGCGGTATAGGTACTGGAATTTTTTTCTCTATACAGGTGTACCTCAATTTTACGAAATGAATGCGTTCTCCGGGACGTTTTGTATTGCAAAAAATTTGTAAACCGAAACGTGGTTTCCCATAGGAATGCATTGAAAACCAATTAATCCGTTCTGGAGGTCAGAAAAAAGTAAAAAAAAGTAGCTGTCATCAGTGATGTATTTAGCTTTTGTGCTGCCCTAGCCAACACAAAAATTGACTCCCCCCCCATTGACCAACAACACCTCAGTCCCTCCCCACCCCCACCAGAGAGAGTCTTTCATTACCACCGCCCCCCATATACTGGCAACCCCCAACCCCGCCCCGACAAGAGATAAGACACACACCTTCACAGCTCTGGACATCCCAGCCAGGAACAAGAGTCGGGCTGTTCATACACCATCAAACAGCCTGCAGCCTCTCTCGGATCCCACCTGGTCTCTGTGCTGCATGTCCCTTCTTCCCTTCCTTCTTTCGGAGGACAGCACTGCCCCCCTGAAAAATGCTGATGCCCCCCTGTGTAATGTAATTACCGGCTTTTTTTTTCTTCACTATATCTCAGAGAATCAGCTGTCACTCCCCCCCAGCTAAAAGAAACAAAGTTTCCTTTTAGTTTGTTTTCCCGAGTTAAAAGAAACAAAGTATCCTTTAGCTCCGGGGAAAGAGACAGCCATAGTAAAAAAAAAAAAAAAAACCCGCCAATTGCATTTAAAAATCGGCACTGACATACACTTCGTATTGTGGAAAAAAAATCATAAAAAATTTGCAAACCGAGGCATTAATTTTAATGGATTTTAATTTGTAAACCGAAAATTCTGTTAACTGAGTCGTCCGCAAACCGAGGTACACCTGTACTAGTAATGGCAGCAATTTGCGACTTATTTAGCGGGACTGCGGGACTGCGGCGGGCATTCTGCCACTGGGGGGGAGGGGGAGGAACTGACTAACTGTCACTGACATCCCCAGTGACACTAATACAGTGATCAGTGCTAATAAAAAGCACTGACACTGTACTAATGGCACTGGGCAGGAAGGGGTTAACATCTGGTGCGATCAAAGGGTCAACTGTGTGCTGTTTTACTGTGTAAACACACTGCTTTGTATGGCTGTGCTATGCAGAGCCATACAAAGCAGCATGCTGGAGCTGACAGGGGAGAGATCTGTATTGTTTACATACAGACCTCTCCCCTGTCAATGTTCCTCGGTGATCAACCAGCGATCGACATCTGTAGACACCAATGGCGCCCCTACCTGGAAATACAAAATTACGTATATATACACGTGATTTTGCACAGGCGTGCCGCCCTCTAGCAGTAGTTCTGCTATAGGGCGGTCGGGAAGCCGTTAAATACGGTCGGGGAAGCCGTTAAATGAAAAAAGTGGGTGGAGGGGACATATTGAGAGAAAACCCTTTCCCTAAGACCTAAGTGTAACCACGAACTCTGAATCATTTATATTACAATTTAAATCTTTCACAATGATCATAATAGTGGGGTTCAGACCAGGCTTTTCTCTTAATATGCCCCCCCTTTTTAAATTTTAAATAATTAATCCAATGGATGATTATAATAAATCAAAGATTTTTTTTTTTTTACGCAAGGAAAGATGGTCTATGTGTAATGTTATTGTCTAGCACCTTTAAATCCCAGTATGTATTCAATTTTTTTTTTTTTTTGCTTCATTCATCCAAGTACTAGTTAAATATTTTAATTGCACAATGCTGCATTTATTAATGTTACACAATTGGTCCCTCAGGAAGTTAAGTCCTTTGGAGACATGGTCCCAGTTATATGTGAAAGTAAATAAAGTCTCTGCTCAGATCAGACACAACGGGATTACATGGTGAACTGCCTTTGTAGTTGGTAAGTGCAACAAAGGGATGAACATTGCAAATGATCCATTGACTGTTAAGAAGATAACTGATCGATGGAAAACACATCCAAGTAACCAGAGCTCATTGTAAGCAGTGCAAGCCGAATGTACCCATATATGTTATCCAGATTATTCGGACCAATGAAATATGAAAATGTCCCGTGTAAGAGAGGTGATCCATAGTGGATGGCTGTTGCATTGGGCACCAAAGGCTGTGCGGTTGAATTTTCACTTGCCTTAGTGAATGACAAGCAACTGATTTTATTTATTTCAGGTACTTATATAGAGCTGTCAATTTATGCAGCACTTTACATATATATTGTACATTCATATCATCCCTAACAGGGGCAGACTGACAACTCATGGGGCCACCGAGCAATAGGGAATCATGGGCCCTGTGTCCTCACCCACACTCAAATAAGTCTATGAAATGTACCAAGGGCAAGTCATGGGGCCCCTACTGACCTCAGGCCCTTGGACAGTGCCCAAGTGCCTGAATGGTCAGTCCACCCCTGGACCCTAACCCTCAAAGGGCATACAATCTAAGGTCCCTAACTCACATTCATATACTAGGGACAATTTAGACAGGATCCAATCAACCTACCAGCATGTCTTTTGGAGTGTGGGAGGAAACCAGAGTACCCAGAAGAAACTCACACAGGCACAGGGAGAACATACAAACTCCAAGCAGGTGGTACTGTGGTTAGGATTCAAACCAATGACTCGAGTACTGCCAGGTGGAAGTGCTAACTATTTAGCCACTGTGCTCCTATTTATCTTCCCTTGTACATAATTGGTTGATCTTTTGCTACGTGAATTTCTAAATTTGCTTCCCCACTGACTAAGCTAAGTGAAAATGTACTTTGCACTATGAACATGTTCTGCTCCTTTAGTTAAAGCTGAATTGTAGGTACTGCCAATTTTTAAAGTTCACCTTTTATTTCTAAATTCCAGCTTCCCTATGTACCAATATACCTGTAGCGCTACCCCCACTGGGACCGCTTGATAACGCTTGTCCCCAGTGGCTTCCCTGACCTTGCAAGCCACCCAACACCTCTGACAATCTACCCACATGGAAGAAAAATATGTATGAAATATATTATAAAAATATTCTTCCCAAATATATTGACATATATATGAAATGCCACAATTTTGGCCATATTCAATATATTTCAAAATATATATTGCAATAAATACATACATAAATATAATATATATATATATATGTGTGTGTGTGTGTGTGTATATATATATATATATATATATATATACTGCACGTTGAAATGCGTTTTTATTACAAGTTATATGAAAAATATTTTTAAAAATACATTCCACATATGCTGTATGTCTTCTTTAAAAATACAAATCTCCATTTTTGGAATGCATTTAGAAATATATGTAAAAATATATGTTAAAAATTACTTTTTTTAAAGGAGGAGGATTTTTGTTAAAAAAATCTGAAGATTATATTTGAAAAAGAAAATTGTTTTTTATATTTTTCATATATTTTGTATATTTTTTCAGATTTTTTTAACATATAAAAAAGTCATTTTAATATTTATGTTTACATATATTTGTAAATGCATTCCAAAAATGTAGATTTGTATTAAAGACATACAGTATATTGGAAATGTATTTTTAAAAATATTTTTTATATATTTCGTAATTAAAACACATTTCAACATGCTGTATATATATATATATATATATATATATATGTGTATTGAAATATATTGAATATGGCTAA